TACTGGGAGCAGGTGCAATCGATTCAGTAAGAAATATGGTTTCCAGTGGTCTAAAAACATTTTTTTCCAAAAAATATTTTTCAAGGAGGCATGTTTTTCTGAGACTCGTCGCTCAGTGAATTTTTCACTTTTTGTAGATCTGAATGCATCAATCGAAAGAGGAGATCGTCCTCTTTACAATGGGGTGCCTAAATCGCGATTCGTACTTAGGTTTGTAAGCATCTTTTCGTTTGACGCCGTCTCATTTTAAACAGTACAAGCAGTGGTGGTATAGGCGGGCTTTTCGGCCTTTGAAAAGTTTAGGCGGCGACTATTCGTCTAAACCCTTCGCCTTTTCGCCTTTTCGCCTTTTCGCCCGAATACCAGATTTATAAAACCTACTTTTTAAGAAAGAGGTGTCACAACTCGTTATCCTGTTCTTGGTGTCTCCGGTGCTTCCGTTTCTTGTGGTCTCGTTGCCTCCCATGACATTGCCCCCCCCCCCCCCCGGGATGTGGCCTCTGTGGATTCTTTGGCGGCTGTTGTTCTCGTGGTCTCGGTGGCGCCCGTATTCTCGATGACGTTTGGGGTCTCCGTGGCGTCTGCGATATTCTTACCGCCTGTGGTATCTGTGGCGCCTATGGTGCTTGGTCCCTGTGTTCGCGTTGGTGTGCAGTCTTCGTGGCACCCGTGTTCTAGTTGGTGTCTCTGGTCTTCGTGGTGCACGTGCTGGCGTTGGCGTCCTTGGTATCGTTGACTCTAGCTCCGTGTCGGTGCCCGTTCTCTCGGTGGCACCCGTGTTCTTGTGGCGTCCGTTGCCGTTGTTGGCGTCCATGCAGTAGTTGGCGTCCGCGTTCTCGTTGGCGTTAGGTCCGTCTTGGCGCCCGGGCTCCCTTTTGGGCCAGAGTTTGTATTGGCGTCCGTGTTGTCGGCGCAGTCGTTGGCGGCCGTGTTGGCCCCGTGATCTCTTTGGGGCTCGTGTTTGTGTTGGCAGCCGTGCAGTTGTTGGCGTTGGGTCCGTGTTGGCGCTCTCTTTGGGGCCCGTGTATTCGGTGGCGCCCTCGAGTTTGCCGTGGCTCATATGGTGTCGTTGGCACGTGTGATCTATGCGGCGCTGGGCTTTCTCGTTGGTGTGCGAGTTTGCTGCTGCGCCCGTCTTCTCGGTGGCACCCATACTCTCGTTGGCATCCATTTCCTCTGCGGCACTTTTGCTCTCTCGTTGGCGTCCGTCTTCTCGCTAGCGCCCGTGTTCTCGTTGGCGTCGGCGCCGGTGTTCTTGTTGACGTCGACGGTCTCGGTGGCGCTTGTGGTATCGGTTACGTTGTTGTTATTCGCTGGAGTCCGTGTTCTCTGCAGCGCTCGTATTCTCTGGTTGGTGTCCATCGTCTCGCTCGCGCCCGTGCTGTTGTTGGCGCCTGTGCTCGTTGGCACATGAGATCTCTGTGGCGCTGGACTCTTGTTGGCGTCCGTGTTCTCGGTGGCGCCCCTGTTCTCGCTGGTACCCGTGCTGTTGTCGGTACCCGTGGTTGCTGTGGCGCCCATGCTCTAGTTGACGCGTGTGATCTCTGTGACGCTGGGCACTCGTTGGCGTCCGTGTTCTCTGTGACACTTGTATTCACATGTTGGAGCCCGCGCCGTCGCTGACCTTGTGTTCACATCAGTGCTCGCGTTAACTGTGGCTTGTGTGATCTCTGTGACCTTGTTCTCGATGTTGCCTCTCCGTGTTCTTTGTGGTGCTCGTGTTCTTGTTTGTACCTGTGGCATCCTTGACGCCAGAGCTTGGCACCTATGGAGCCGTTGAAGCCTGTGTTTAGCACCTGCGTTCTGGTCGGCTCCCGTACACCTGTGGTCTCATCTGCGTGATTGCAGTGTCTTTTCAAGAGCTGTGGACAAAGTCAAGGAAAATGTCGACAAATTACTTTGGATTTTTCTGCCCAAGATCGTAGACGAAGAGCGACGTGCAGCTCTGCTACTGCGGCATTTGAGCAAGAACTCATACCATCTGCTGCAGAACGAATATGTGCTTCAAATATAAATGCTGGTGGTTTTA